TGACAACTCTCTATGATGCTGCAGTGTGCACACGAAGACCACTCGCTTCAACTCCACTCATCACCATTCCAACAAGTACGTTTCACCACTGGCCTTTTAACCTAGGCTGCATCTTTGTGGTCCCAAAGGAGCTCTGGCCATTGCTTCCTACTTAAAAAGAAAAGAAGCGCAACCCACAAACTCACACTTGTCTTTTCTGGCTATCCAGACCCATAAGGAACTTTTTAAGATATCTTAAGTCTCCCCACGATGTATGCAGTGACTCACCTGGTCACAGGGAACAGCGGGATACTGGAGGATATGCTGCTCCCCACTACAAGGCAGAGCTGACTTAGATTTCTCTGCTGGACAAACAGTTGTAATGCATTAACTTTTTCATTTCCAGCTACACTCCAGGCAGGGCCAGAACCTGTCCTCTAGATACCTTATCTACAAGGACTGCAGCCCCTCCAGTGTGTTTGCTTGTTTGGTTTTGGTTTTTTTTTTGTTGTTGTTGTTGTTGTTTGTTTTTTTGGCACCAGTCTTTTCTTGCCCTCCTTGCTCAGTTAGATCCTTCCTGCTAAAAACAAAGACTGAAAGGGAAGGAACAAAATCCACCAATTTAAATATTTCTAGTTTGGGGAAAGGCAAAGTAATTAAAATTACCATAATTTTAAAAAAACTCTAGAGAACAGGGTGTGGTCACAGGACGGAAGCCTGCCTCTCTCCTGGGTGTCTTGTTCTTTTACAATAGCATATGCTACATGCCTTAGGACAGATGTATTCTGTTTACTGTCATTCAACTGGCAGACTAGATGCAATCAAGAGCTATTCAGGTATGCTGTGCCCATCCCAGTCTGATTATTGGCTTGTCTACGTTTGAATTGCCAAGGGCCCTTATTCTCATCTATCTGCCTGGCATGCATCTATGGAGTACACAGACGAAGAGGAGGGAGATGCTCTTTTATTAGGTGGCATGAATGATTTCTCCTGAGTCCAATGAGGGCACGCTTCTCAGCTAGTCCATTCTTCATAGATTCAGACCTTTTCTTTCCCAACAATGGGTACACTTATGGGCTGTAACTGGTGAAATGCCTTCCTCTTACTGGAAAGCCTGACTAGGGAAGTCACGTGACCATAACAGTGACACTGCTATGCTAACACTGGTTTCTAAAAAGATGTTAGTCATGTTGAGAAGGAAAGTGTTTATACACTCAAGTCTTAAGAAAGGATCACGCTGACCAGGGCAGCTGCACTAAGACTGGGGATGAGCTATGTGGAGCTGGTTTATTTAAATACAATTACTAGCAGAACAAGAATGTCAGGCGCTTTCACCACATTTTCAAAGCCAAATTACTTATTATCTCTTTCCTTGCTCTCTTTCTCCCCCCTCCACAGCATGCAGATACTCCCCGAAGTGGACCCAGCCTTTCTAATATTTACAAAAACATAGTTTAAAGTGATCAAAACGGTATACTTCAACACCAGCTGAAGAACATGCACAACTAATACTGCCTAACTCTGTACCAGTGATAAAACCTGGGCGAAAATCAAATCAAATGGGAGAAAGCTACTTGAATGAAAATGTACGTTCCTATGAATTTTCAGCCGGAAGGAGATGGATGTAGCTAGAAACTGCTTAGGGAAAGGAAACTCTTATCAACAAATAAACAAGTAGGAATGGGCAGAGGTGAAGAGCTTAGCTGGTCTCTTCATCCTATCCTCTGCATGTAGTAAGCCTTGGAGCTACTGTCCTCGGGAGAAATATTAGTTTAGTCACAGCGCTGTACCCAGGCAGACCCAAGAATAAGCCGTACTCTGGGAGCATAATCGGACATCTCATGATTTAACATTTCATGTGTTACATCCACTTACTTCTCCTGTCCCTTATAAGCAGACAGACTTTATACTGGGTCAGCATAACAACCGGGCATGTGAGGCACAGAAGTAGTAGCTAATAAGGGTGTACTTAAAAAGTGCCATCTGCCTAGGTTCTAGTGTCATTTCTGACAAACAGGTGCACACTTCCACACTTCCTAGCAAAGGAAACTACTTCTATAATCTTGTTACTTCTGTACCTTTTCTATCTGGCCACAGACATTAGCCAGGTGTGTGGCAAGTGACAAATGTTTGTCCCGAGCCTGGTTTGCTGGCTGATGTGACCTTCTGACAGCTAGGTGATTCACTCAAGAGGACCATTTGACATTTTACCAGACAGTCAATTAAACAGACTAAACACTGATTTTTGTAGAGATGAATTCTCACAGCTCTAAGAATGTAACACTTGGAAGTTGTTCAAACCCGGATGCATATTAGTGTTCACAAAACAGGGTGTAGTTTAGTCTACACACACTCGACAAGACGGTTTCCATAATTTCTGTTGAGACTGTAACAATGTGTTTCAGCCCTTTAAATCCAGCGCTTGGTAACAGGCAAGAACGCATTATAGAGAATGCTAAAGGACCAGATGTTTGCAAACAAATGTTCATTCTTCTAGTTCAATCTTTCACAAACATACTGTACAGAGTCTTGTATGTTATAAAACAAAGAAACACATCTGTTTGTTCAGTTTAACACAACATCAAAATAAAGCAAGTAAGCTTTAGGAAAATCAAAGGTACAAGGAAACAGAAACAGTTCTTACTAATTCCTCAGCTTTTTACCGTAAACATTCGTCATTTAACAGACGTTGTGTGTGATACTTTTGTACTGCAAATGCTTCTGGACTTTCCTCAAGGTGGAATAAATGAAGGAGCAAGTAGATCCCATGGCGTCTTCAGAAGGAAACAAAGATAAAGTTTTAGGAACACCTAGCTCATCTCTAATAGTCTACTGTTCTAAAAAACAAACAACAAAAAATCTGGAACCCCCAATGAATGATGCTTAATTTTGGAAAAAAAATAATAAATACTGTGAGGTACAATAAGTCGCACAGGAATAATAACAGAAACATATCAACAGTTTCCTTTGGCAAATTTAACGGAAGTGAATGCTGATGTGAACACAGAAAAAAAAATTACAAAACATGAAAAACAGAAATGATATGAAAAATTGAAACAAAAAGTATTTCTAAGTTTTAGACTGATGGGAGAAATGTTTGAGGCCATTAAATGCAGAAAAGAAATACATTCTCTTTCTATTATGTAGTTTGAGAAAGTACTAGTGTTTACCCCACCCTTCCCCAAAGAAAACAATACGATAAAGCCCACTCTGCAAGCACACCCCAGCAGTTCTGGCTGCGGGCAAAGTCGAGTAAATGTCATCATTTAGTCAGTCTGCTGTCGTAGCCCAGGCTGCCAGTGTGGTTAACCAGCTCAGGCAACATGTGTAAACATCAGAAACAAAACAAAACAAAAAGGTTTGGAGCAGTCTCCCCCCAGCCCCCTTGCTCTCTCAACTGCTTGGTTCCAGGCTTGCTTTCATGTCTCTCTGACATGGGGAAACACAAAACACTACCCAGTAAGATCCTGTCTGCCCCTCTCCTGCCGCTTGGAGAAGAGTGCTGCTCAATTCAAGTTCAATGTGTGTTTTCAGAGCTTCCAAGAACAGCTGCTGTGAAGCGGCTTTTGATTTTGTCTATTAAGCAGGCCTGACTTCAGTGCTACTGCAGAATTTTCGACAAATGAGACAGCCACATAACAGACGAACCCAGCTTAGGCTTTTTCTTTCTTTTCAAGGGATAAGGGTTAGGGCCTCAGATGGGGGTGCTCAGCTCTCTTACTGTATCTAGCTTTGTTCCTGTAGTGAGCAATTTGGGCTATTGTATCCCGAGATGTTACCCTGCCTCTACAGAAGAAATGCTTTGGCTGTTTCACACCACATCATTTTGTTTTCCTTTTATGTAATTTAACATGTACAGAGGAAGGATACAATGTTGACTCTAATAACATTCTGCACTCGAAAGAATCACCCAGGTTTTTTGTTGTTGTTGTTGTGGTAGTGGTGGTGGTTTTCTGGTGGCCAAAAAGTTAGCCTGTGGTTATGCTGAGTGACTAACTGTATTTTCTTTTCTGAAAACTTGTGCAAAGTTGGCACTTTTGTGTTAACACTAATACTTTTTGTTTGGCATTTGTGCCCTTTACTGATCAGACCATTTTTATACAAGTGGGTTTTTTTTTTTGTTTTTTTGTTTTTTTTTTTTAAAAAGATACTTATTGAAGTATGGCGGTAGCTTAAGGATAAAAAGAAGCACGGATATTACACATCCCCACGTGGTGTATGAAAAAGTGCATGACTGGACTTACGTACTAGTACAGGACATTTTAAAAAATCAGATCTGCGCTGTGAAGCATGCACGTCTTTAGCACTATATCTAACAGGTAGTAAAAACAAGACCATGGTTTTTTTGTTTTTTTTTTTTTTAAGAAAATGTGCGTTAATGCTAACAAAAATGAATAGAACTAGCCAGCAAACTATTTATTTCCTGCATACCTAACAGCTCGATGTAACTGTCAAAATTAAAGAAGAGTTAAACAACCATCAATACAATTGTTTTACATCATAGGCCTCGCAAGGCTAAATATTTACAGGTGAATCTGCCATGCTTTAATTAAAGATTCTCTCAAAACCTTAATGTTCACAAAAGACAACTATAAGAAGTTCTTTTTGTTTCTTTTCTCTTCCCTCCCCCTTTTATTTATTCATTTATTATTTATTTTTTTTTGCAGGCAAGAGTCATAGGTACAACAAAATGTCTTTTTGGAGAAGATCAAGAATTATTTTATCAAAATTGGGCTAGTTGCACGCTGTGTGTGTGTATACATGTTTGTGTGTGTGCATATGTGTGTACGTGTGCATGTAGGTGTATGTGTGTGTTGAAAGGGGTACTCTATTTTCACCCCAAGTAAAATATCCACCCTCTCCCAAAACTATAAAGGAAAAAGAAAAAAAAATTTCAAAAGCACCTAGTATTTATCATTTTTTTATCTAAAGAAAAAAAATATGTGTGTGCACAAGTGTAGACACAAGGCATACACATGTACACACACGTATGTGCCCCACTGTGGGAGCACGCACTGGCTATGGCGGTTCGAACATGTAGGCCATCTGGTGAGAGCTGGCATCTGTGGGGTCCGTTCTGGGACTAATCTATGGAAGTGAAGGGAATGTTTTTGTGGAGATTGGGGTTCTGGCTGTGCCGATTCCGGCTCCGCACAGAGGAAAACATCATGTTGCAGCCCGGGACTTTGCATTTGTGCATCTCTCGCAGATGCACGGTCTTGTAGTGGACCCTCAGGGTCCCCTTGTTGCTGTACATTTTGTGGCAGATGTTGCACATGATCCCACCATTGCTCCCAGACAAGCTGCCGAACATAAGCGACCCTGAAACTTCAGCCCCTAGACTGCCAGGCAGGGTGGGGGCCTCGGCCTTGTGTGCAGACTCCCCGCTGTCACTCGCCCCGTCAATGTCGTCGAGAAGGATCCCCTCATCGCTGCCCGCATCTGATTCTCTGGAGGAATGGACGCTGCTGCTGGACTGGAGGCTGGAGGTGGTGCTCAGGTCAAGGACCATGTAGTCCTCTGCCATGCCTCTCCCGTACCCATTCAGGTGGGAATCTTCTGTCCCTGCGGGAGAGGAGGCGTCTTCCCTGACATCGAGCCCCAGAGGGTGCTGGGCACCATAGATCTTCATCAAAAATTCATCCCGGAGGTCCTTGCTAAGGGAGGGCTGCGATGAGTCCAGGCCCATGTCATCGAGTTCTTTGGTCAACAGTTTACGATGCAGGTTTATGTTGGCACTGTGTCTAGGAAAACAAGAGGGAAGGGGGGGGGGGAAGGTGCGGAGGGAGTGGGGAGGGGCGAGAAAAAGCAGAGCATTTTAAAATTGATTCAACTTTCATTAAGCACCAAATAAGCACATTCATTCCTAATTACACCACTATAAAAGCAAGCATTCCCCTCATTCTCAGGACCTGGGAGTGAGCGCAGGTGGGAGGTGCAAAAAGTGGACTTTCCATTAACTAATTTTTATGAATAAGCTCTTCAAGGGCAGGATGAATGCAAACCCAGGCACTCTTTTCTCAATGGCTGTTCCGTTAGCGCATCAGCCACAGAGGACCTCGGAGCAGACATCTTACACATTAAATAAGTACAGGGTAATACTTACGAAACAGAGTGAAAGAATGGAAACTCTGCTTGACTAAACGAAAGTCTAAATTAACTGAAAATCAGAAGATGACAGCAAATAAATCTTTTCTAGTGCAGCAGATACTGTGTAAAAAGATTTGTGTTTTCAAAAAGTAAATGGTCTTCATAATTTAGGTTTAACTTTAAAAACATCTTTCTCCTTACTCTCCTATATTTCATGTTTTAAGCTTAAAAAAGAAAAACAGTCTCAGCAAATCAGTGACTTCAAATAGTGAAAAGCCTGTTTTTGTAACACAAATCTTTTCTCGAATCTGTCTGGTATCCCAGTCAAATCTAATAGCAAAATACATTTTAGTATTCAACTGTTTTCATCAAATAATGCTACTTCAATTTAATTTTTTTAAAACATAAGCTGACAATTATTATCTAAAAAGTACAATCTCTACCTCCCCCTACAAAAACTTTTTTTTTCAAAAGGATAAAATTAAAGCAAAGTTAAAAAAATCAAGCCCAAAATGATATAGAGTCTGTTTCCTTCACAAATAAAACCCCTACTTTGACAAGCAAAACTCACTGAGAGCTTTGCTTGTGTTACAAAGGGTGAGATCCCTTTCCAGAGCACTGACAGGGACCAGGCTTACAAAGCCCATGTCCCTAGTTATCTGAAAACATTGCCTTTGTATTTACACCCCCCCCACTGACTTTTAAAGCGCCCTTGGGCATATACCTCTCTCCACCTTCAAAGGCTCACAAGTTTGCCGGGTACCTAAATTGAAAGCCACCCTCCAAAAAAATAAAGTGATAAAGAAACAGGGAAATCAAACTTCCCAGCAGAGGAAGCTGGGCATCTTAGAGACATTAACTGTGGTAATAGAAATGAACTAAACGGCCAGCATTAAGTTCATGAGACCTGCATATGATCAGAAGTTACTTCAATTGGGAACAAGCATGGCTGACATATCCTGGAGATGTGTGAGAGGTATGTGCCTTCAGGACAGGAAAGGAGGGAGAGGCTTCCCCCCCTTTCCACACAAGACAATCAGCACTCTGGGTTGAGGGGGCAGAGGGTAGCAGCCCTCTCCACACTGCACTTGGGAAGGCTGAGCTTACCTTGTGACAATAAGATCAGCTTTCTAATCTTTTGCTAAATCGATCACAAAAGAAAGCAAGAATGAGAGACAGAGAGAGAGAGAGAAAGAGGGAGAAAGAGAGAGAGAAAACAAATTCACATTCTAGATATCCGGTTTTAAAAAACTTAAACAATAAAATAGGGATTTAAATTGTTCTGATCACAAAATTATTTTCTGTCATAAGTGATCATCTCATATGTTGCCTTGACTTTCAGATCACCTGCATAATCCAAAAACTATAAATCAAATTAAGTAAACCAAATTCACAGCATCAGCATCATCCATAAATGACTTCCAAACAGATGCATGCAGTGTGCGGATATACGAATGTGGCTAAACAGACATTGTTCCCACAGTTCTGTTCTGACACTCATCCCCCCCACCCTGCCCCCCCTTATCCCTGGTGTCAGGTGTCAGATGATGTGTATGTGTGTGTGTGTGTGTGTGTGTGTGTGTGTGTGTGTTGCTAGGCAGAGTGAAGAAAATGCCTACTGTGAAGACTTTACTATGACATGTGGGGAGACACCACCAGAGTTATAATGAGAAAAATATGGCAATAGTTAAACTGTGTACCACTGCTCTATTGATGAAACAATCTGCCGACTGTAAGCCGCTCATGAAACCCTACCCTCATTTATTATCTTTAACACCCCACCCCTTTAAGTCTCTTAAGCACACATTTGACTGCAGTCTAGAACTCTGTGCTGTTTCTCACACATTACCACTTCCTAGGTCTGCTGCTGAGAACGCAGCAGCCAGACACACAGAGTTACATCAAGACAGACTGAGCAAGGAAGGATAAATCAACATTGACAAGATGGTACCCTGATCACCCAGACGGACACCTCTCCCATAGGATGGCTTGTGAATTTACACATCTTCGCTGATATGTTACCAGGAAGATATTTTCTCTTCGTTTCTCACGTACAGCAGAAGAGGTCTGTAACCTAATTAGGTGATGTTCCAGCCCTCAATATCTGTCAACCAAACGATGTGCAGAAATGTGGAGACCAGCTCTGGCACTCTGCTCAACAGTGTCCCTTTTCCGCTGTCAGCAGTACTGTTGGCCTCTGCTAATAGAATTACATTGACTTTTATTCAATTAAGTACCATCCCTCGCTTACAAAAAAAGCTACTTTATCAATTGATTCAGGTGTAATGTAATAATAAAGATGAACTCATGGCAGTGCATTAACTCTGCTCTTCATAACTTCAGTGCATGAGTTCATTCACAGCAGTCGATTTCCATTATGCAACCACAGTTCAAGAGGATTGATTCTTTTATGTTCATTTCTTAATCTATTTCATTTTTGTTTAATAATCTTCCCAAATACAATATGCAAAACACATGGAGTGGGGATGAGGAGAATGGGCTGGGGAAAGCCTGCTGGTTCAGCCCCATGGCTTGGACTTGAGAGCCTCTAGCTCTCACAGTGTTGCTGGGTTTGGAGGAAGACCAGCAAGACAGACCAAGGGAAGCAGGTGACCGAGGCTCTTGTTCCTGGAGGTTAGAGTTCTGCCTCTACAGGATGGACAGAAGGCAGCACTTGGCTTTAACAAAGACCTATTGTTAGAGCCTCCAGTCAGTCAATTCAAACCACTGACTGCCATAAAAATAGTGTCCTCATGAGATACAAAGACCTAAGGTTAATTGCAATTTGAGGAATATTACAAGTTTAATTGGATCAGCAAAACTTTAGAGGTAAAAGGATGAAAGACAGAAAGAACTCACCACTGACAATCAGATGCTGAGAGAAAAGAAGCCCAAGAGGGGAGGGCAGCCACAGCATGCTGTAAATAGTAGGACCCCGGCACAAGGATCTGTTGTCAGGGATACATACACACGCTTTGCTTTTGGGAAAGAAAGAACTAGTGTCTGAACATTTACCTTGAGAAAAGAAGTGAGACTAATATTTAGCCAAAATTTAGACTGAAGAAAAACATGAAGAATAGGAAATATTCACAGCTGGCAGAAGGTCTTCCCAACTCAATGCAGAGGACAATTCTGAGGTAGAAGCCCTTTTCCTGTCTTTGTGAAACGACAATAGTGACAGAGCAGAAAGTAAGGACTCCAATATCATGCAAGGCACATCACAAGACATGGGATCAAAACACTGTAGTTTAACTTGAGCTGCACACAGAGTTATGAAAGTTCTCTGAATTTCTGTCCTCAACAATGAATCTGCCAAAATTTTAGGGGTCACACAGAAAAAAAACCAAAATATCATAAGGTTGTAGATCCAGGGCAGGGTGTTAATACCTAAGCTTCTGTCTCACTTTCTGTTTCTTGGATACCTTACCTAGGCAATCACAGAAGACAGGAGATGTATCAGATGCGAGACAGGCAGGGCAAGGGCTGCCTTGGGCTTTGTCCTCCTGTCTCCCTCTTGCTCAGATGCCCAGAGCCAGCTCATGCAATGTTTTACAAGCAATATTTTAAACAAAAACAGAATTTGAGTTTGGATTTGAAATACGGGGCAAGAACAGGTAGTTTTGTTGTTAGCTGTTTGTTTTTAAGAAAAAGTCTTAATATCAGGTTGCAAAATCCAAGGCAATGTGACGGTTAGTCTCAGTTTTAAACCTGAGCTCTGGGATCACCAGAGAGATGGGCCTCCAAGCGTGTTTGTGGGAGTTATCTTAATTAGGTTCACTGAAGTGGGAAGAGCCGCCTCCTGTGGGTGGTGCCATTCCCTGGGCTGGGAATCCTGGATGGCATCAGAAGGAGAAAGTACTTGCATGCCAGTGCAGGGTGACCAGCTGCCTCAGGCTCTTGCTGACTTTCCCACTGTGATGGACTATTCCTTGAACTTTGAGGTAAATAAAAAAAAAAAAAACTTGCTTCATTAAGGATCTTTGCCAAGTATGTTATCACAGCAACAGAAAAGTAACTAAAATAGCCAGTCAGAAACGGATTTCACAGAGTCACAAATCAAGCTAATGTGTCATATAAAATGTCCAATACTTAATTCTTAATTAGTTCCATTCATTCCAAGCTTAGTGAATTATTATTACACAATTATCCAGGCAAAATGGAATTAAGGGTTCATTTTTGATTATTTTTTGCATTTACTTTCCTGTCATTTGCTACAATATATGCCAAATATTTTCAAATAATACTATCTAAAATGACCATAGCAGATGGCATCTCTCTCTGTGTGTATGTGTGTGTGTGTGTGTGTGTGAGAGAGAGAGAGAGAGAGTGTGTGTGTGTGAAAGAGAGACAGTGAGTCATCCCTTGGCATCATCCAAGGATTGGCTTAGCACAACTCCCAACCAAACTTTACAGATTCTCAAAAGCCCCTTATATAAACCAATACAGTATTTTCCTGGGCCCTACACACTTCCTACATTATATATTAAGTCATGCCTATACTACTTGTGATTCCCGTATCACATAAATGTTAACACAAATAGTTCACCTATATCATACAGGAAATAGTAACGAGAAAAAAAATGTTTCTTTGTGTTGGGTGCAGTCATGATTTTTCTCTAAACATTTTCTGTCTGTGGTTCTTTGAATCCACAGA